TATTTAAGATTATTCAAAGCTCCCGGTTATTTTTTTTAACATGGAGGTGTGATGAAGACCCGCCCCCTACTCCACTTCTGATTGGCCCGCCGTATACACTCTAACCAATCATCACTCTTCAAGCCTAAACCAACCAACCAATGAGGGGGGCAGCTATCAGAGTGACAAGGGAGGGGCGGGATTTCGTGACTTCATTCTTGTTCCCGCGAGATCTTTGTCTTTGGAGGGCGGTTGCCATGGACACAGAAGCGTCGCAGTCAATGGGGAAGCTGCTTCACTTTCTTCAGCAGTCAAACAAAATGAAGCAGCGACCAACAACATCCTCGTTTATCACTTAAATAAACCACAGGTGAGGTTTTGTATTTGATCTGTGTTCTTATCTTTATTACATCACAGAAACCTGTGGAGTAGTTTCACTATTAAAGTCAACGCTAATTGCTTTGCACGTCGTTACCTGGCAATTACTGGTGTTTTGCTAAACATCTCTGGAGGCAGATTCAACCTGTGATGTGATAAATTCACACCAACAATCCTCAGTAACATGCCTGACAGCTTTTTGTCTTTGCACAACAGCAATTGTCACCTTGCTTTGCTGTCACAGCCAGTGACACAAATTTAAACTCATTTGCAATCGCGTATCGTGACTCTGTCTCCCAGAAAAACTCAACAATCGATGGAGTGACGGTGGCAGAACTAGTAAATGTGAAGGAAATAAAACCAAAACTGTGTAACTTATGTGTGCAGCCTATACAAACTCCACAATGTATTCAGGATATCATGAAATTCCCTTTCTATTTATAATTACTTTACACATACACAACATAAATTATATATGCTTTTTTAAATTCATGATATTGATTTCTTTAGATAATTTCCCACCATTATTTTCTTCTTATGATGATATGTGTCGCAGATCATGGACGGCGGTGATGAGCTGAACGAGTTGCGGCTTCAGTTCCAAACACTGCAGAAACAGCAGGAGAAAAGAAAGCTGCACAGGAAGATGGAGAAAGAACCAGAGAAGCTTAATATCAAGGTTTCACAGGAGGATTCAGATGTGCTCAAACAAGACATTCAGTTAGACAACCTGCCTGCAGACGACAAGTGAGTCTCACAAAGGCTGAATTCAATTTTGTTTTCCTCAATGGCAACTTGACTGTCTTTGGGACTTACTTAAGGTTTGGAATCTTCATCTTCCGCGTAAACAATCTTGGTTTTTAACTTTGATTATCTTCCGTTAGACTTGTGCAGGATGACAAGCAGAAGTTTCTTGATCAGCTGCGAGAGCTCAAAGATGAAAATGGTCGTCTCTTCAAACTTCTCGGAGAAAGGGATTTTGAAATTAAACACCTGAAGAGGAAAAGAGAAGAAGAACGACTGGTCTTTGCAGGTGTAGATACAAAAAAACCATAAACTTACTTTGCACCACAGAGATGATGACTTATTAGCTCACCTGTTCTTCATCGTCAACTCCTCCATTCAGGCACCTCCGGCTTGGCTGGGGACGTAGCAGCCACCAGGATTGTTGAACTGTCCAAGAAGAACAGAGAGCTGAGCGCTGAGGTCGAGCGAGAGAAGACCAAGTCCAAGCAAAACAGCAACAGAATCAAAGAGCTTGAGAAAGAGGTAACAAGCTTAGTGTCAATGATGATTGAAGTGAAGAATAATTCAATATAATCCTAATGTTCTGCTCCTTTCTCTAGCTGCAGTCTGCGTTGGTGCGCTCTCCTCCTGGGCAAAACACAGACACAAAATCACAGCTTAAGACATCATCAGAAGACTGTGAGGTATTAAAGAAGATGCTGTAAAAATTGACCAACATTTATGTGTCTTTTTAACTATGATGGAATCAAATCTAAAATCATTTACCATTCGATTGCAAAAGCAGGAGAATCCAGCGGTGAAATCTCTGCAGGAGAAATTATCCGCTGCCCAGCTGAAAATGGCTGAATACCGAAACCAGGTCCAATCCCTCAAACAGGAGGTGAAAGTAGCTCAGAAGGTAGAATTTGTTTTCTGTCTTAAGTCAACCTGCTTGAGTGGAAGATCATGTATTTGTATGATTAATCATCAGTAACCTCTAATCTGAAGTCTGTCCTGCTGCTGTAGGTTTTAATCAGTGAGGTTGGAGAGGAGGTCAACCTTCAGCAATTACTGAGCTGCCCAGGGAGCTTCAGAGGTCGCGCTCAACAGATACTGGTTCTTCAGACGAGGGTAAGAATCAAATTAAATTACATCCTAAATCAGGATGTGCTTCTCAACTTTAAACCACACAGTTAATCACATTAATAGACTGCTTTTCAAACTCTGATTGAGGATTAGGGCCGTCATGATCAATAAAAAATAATGATACTGTTATTAAAGTTATATCAATTATAGCGATTACATCAGTCAGTTTTGTTTATTGTTGATTAAGTTTATTAAGCTCAAATTATTTCTAAAAATACCACTAATACTAATATTTACAAGGGATGTGAAGATCCGCTGCTGGGCAGAGCAGTTGTGGTTAGATTTTCCCATTATAATTTCCATATTAATGATTTTGGAGACACGGTATTGATTTGCACAACATGAGAATTATTGACACAATATCAATAATTCCTGTTTAATTATGGGTCAATACAATGTAAAAATAAATATTGGGCTGTTGTTCAACAGGTGCGGGACCTTGAGCAGCAGCTGAACCAATCGAGTCAGCGCCGACAGCCGAGCGTCCTGAGTGAAGAGGACGAGTGTCTGGGCACGGGGGTCCTTCTGAAGACCCCTCCTCAAGAGAGGAACCTCAGCTACATCCGCACCATCGAGAAGGAGAAGAGGGAGGTGTTCGAGGTGCGTATACTGGTATGAGCAGGATTGAATGTATTGAAATATTATGTTATTAATGTAGGGAGGCCTTGCTGTCTGGTATAGAGAATCTCAGTGGAATATGAGAAGCTGCTGAAAGACCACGAGGACGTGAAGAAAAAGATGGAAGCCTCGAAAGCCAGGAACAAATCTCTGTCTGCTGAGATGAAAACTCTGAAGGTCCAAGTTTCCACGCTACTAGAGAAGGGCAAACATGATAATGAGCTTGTGGATGCTTTGCTGGTAAGGAACTACATATACTTTATATACTCAACATTTATAAACGGTAATGTATAGACACACTGTAGAATTCCTTATTTAACAGTCGCTGTTTTGAAAGCATCACCAATTTTTAATGATATATATAACCTATAATCATTTCAGCAGGAAAAAAAGACTTGTTTTCAGTTTAACCACTTTGCAATATGGGGTTAATTCTGGAGGTTTGAACAAGTTTTCATTTGTTTTAAACATTGTGGACAACACAAGCATTCAAACAGCTGTTACATGCAAGGGGTCTATGCAACAACAGGAATACATTTACTTCATGAATTAACTATGGGTAGTTATGGTTAGTTTATGGTTTAGTTAATACAAAATTCAGTTTTTGCTCCACCTGCCAAACAACACTAAATATTGAGGGATTTCATGTTACATTTATCAGGTAAAAAAAGAAAGAAGGATATTCGATGATGAGCCCAAGCTTCCCCACATTGTTCTATGCAATACCTGCTATCTTGTCTCCCACTGGCAGAAGCAGCAGACCCAGATGCAGGAGGTGCTGAGACGACTCAGCCAACAGCAGAACGATCCGAGCAAGGAGCTCCAGCAGAGCCTGAGGCTCTTGCGGAGCAGCGATCCTGCAGAGCACAACTCTCTCATCCAGAACCTCAAGCAGATAGTTGCTGAGAAAGAAGAGACAATCAAAGAACTGCAGGAGGAGATCCAGCAACTCTCTATCCAGGTGAGGAAAAAACAAAAGTACTGTTTTATTTTACATTTTGACAAACTGCACTAATTTTGGATTTGAGCAGGTATTTGAAGTAATCCATGTCATTCAAACAAAACCAGTGTTTTTGTGCTGTGTCAAAAAGATTGTGTTAAATATGTAACAGGAAGAGGGACAGTCCCGCCTCAAGACAATTTGCAGTGCAGGCTTTCCGCCTGAAGAGGGAGACATTAACAAGAGAATAACGTCTTCAGGGTACGTACGCTAATGGAAATCTTGCTGAAAGATAATTAGAGGATGGAAATGTGATGATGTTCATAAGACCATTCATTTTACTTTCATCTTAAACTAATTTCTTATGTTGCATTTGGACAGAGCTGTGAGAGTGGGAAAATGAGGGTTAATCATTTTATCTCTGGTGCCTCAGTCCATTGTGTTAATATGACTCTGTCTTTTTTTCTAGTTCACTTTCTAAATTCGGTCATAAACTGGTGCTGCCTACTGTGAAAAGTAGTTTAGAATTCAAGTAAGTGGACATAAAGCTTCTCTATTTATACTTTTCCTGGAACCTTGTTATGCTTAGTGAAGTAATTAACAGCACAAATTAAGTGTTTTTTTTGTGTCCTTCTGTTCTCAGGGGTCCAGGTTCTTCAAAATGTCCACAATGTTCAGCCGATGTTAGTGCGCTCATGACACAGTGTAGTGAATATAAAACCCTCTGTGTGGAGAAGGACAGACTCTCTGAGCTGGTGAACGTCCTACAGACAAAGTAATTTATACTCTGAAATGTTTTTTCCATTTTATCAATTCATTTGTTTACGTTAGTCCCACTCGGTGTTGAAACATACATCTCTGTGAAATCATTTTCAGAGGTCACTGTTTTCTGTTATTTGAAATCTATTTCTACTGATTCCAACAAAATGTCACAAGAGAAAGCAGGAGGACACTTTGGGGCAGGAGCAACTCTATGTGTAATCTTCTAGCAAGAACCATTTCATGTTACATTTGTCATTCCAGCTGTGTGTCAATAGAATAAACAACAGTTTGTCTGCTGACAGCGTCGATATATGAAGAGTTTGTTTTGCAGCAGACACCCTGATTTACCTGAAGGACAATGAATCCTTGAAATGTTTTCTTTTCACTTGGCAATTCTCATTTTTCACTTTGTGCATCAAACCTTTTTTATCAAGGTTTGAGGAAATGCTGCAGCACTCCACCACAGGGACATTCTGTAAATCTGTGGCCCATTGTATTGTACATGCACTATTTCAAGGCCATAAACACTTATGGAAAAATTATTGCTTTCTGAACACTGCAGCTCTTGGAGTTTTATTTTAAGATACGTTACAACCTTCAGCTTAGAGTATATGTGGCTTAAAAGTAACCAAAATATAACATAATATTCTAACTTAAAAATATTTGACATAAAAAGGGAAAGCTTATCTAGATTTATTTGTGCTCATGTACATCTAAAGTCCATTCTACTGTCACCATTAAGATAAATGGCCGCATGTTTATCTTAACTCATTTGTAACTGACAGAATCCTCTTATTTGAATCTTCCAGAGAAAAAGATTCGACCCAGAGGTGTACGGAGGCCGAGCACAAGTATCAGGAGGAGCGCCGCAGGATGGTGGTCCTGGAGCAGCAGCTGGAGAGGACGAAATTAGATTCAAAGTGAGGTCTGTGCAAGCAGCAAGGGTAGAACTCGTATGGCAAGGCTCAATTACAGCTTATATTTAATACTCTGACATATAAATTTCTTCTTTGGCTGTCATGACGATAAAGCTCAGGATCAGTGTCTCTGAGCATTAGGATGGCAGGACTCTATAAACAATAGTAAGTGTCCATAGACAAACACGCCTCCTATGGACAACACTCACTCTAACCCTCACGTCTGGACGACACTGAGACGTCCACGTTGCTCTTATTTTTTTGTCTCATGGCTGCTCATTCAGATGGAGGTAACGGAGGTGCTGAGGGCATCGCCACAGAGCACTCTCCACTGTGAACTGTAGCTCTGCAGTGACGTGATGAGACAAGTCAAGCATGTTTTCCTGCAGGCTCTGTGACAGCAGAGACAAGACACTAACCAGGGGACCTGGCTGGTCCCTGCTCAAACTCACGTCCAGCTGAGCCCTACCTTCTGCTGTCACACGTGTCAAACAGCAGCCTGTAGGAAACAGGCTCTCCTCCTCCCCCCTGCTGCACAAACAACATACAGATCTCCTCCTCCTCCTTTTTCTACTTACGAACCCTCAACAACAGCTTATGACTCTTCCTCTGCACGTTCGTGTGACCTCAGTTTAACCACTTGAGTACCTTGAGTTCAATCCTAATGGCAGCAGACATGTGTTCTTACCGATTATAGAAACGCTTGATGCTGATAGGATATCTCCCCATGGTTTCATATCTTGTCTGCTTACTGCTTCATAAATGTCACATTCTATTAAATGAATGCATGTACTTTTGCACCGCTGGCAACTTCAGGTGCAGTTACAGGTGTAGAGAGCAGCAATGCAGGTTTTCAAGTATTTTTGTAAACCAAGGAGACGTCCAAATCTTCACCAGATGTTTTGAATATATTGTTTGCCTTCTCGGCTGTTACCCTCTGAGAGATGTGAGTTGTTTTGGCTCTAGATGGTCGTACGTAAATGTGTGACAGGCCAATCCAAACAGTAAACACCTCCGTTAAGTCCCCAAAAAGCTTGAATATTCCTTTTAAATATTAGTGTTAATCATTTCTGACTTGAAACCAGCTGTGTGGGAATAGTGGTTGAAAATGAATGTGGACTCAAGCTGCACAAACGCCAGCTGCAGTCCTCCCTGTGTTCCCCAGAGCACGTCACACGCACTGCACGTATGTGATCTTAAACTCTTCATCCAAAGGTTTTCTGGATGCGCGTATCCTGGTGGGAGTGGCCCTCACATTCATACAAACATTCATCCTAACATCCGAGTTATTTTCTTCCGATGAAGCCAGAAGGATTTCAGCAGAAACACCCTCCTCTTCTCCTCCCCCCACATCACGCTTAATTTAAAACCGTGGCTGAGTTAGTGTGCTGCTTCAAATACCGCACTATTTCTTCCAGTACCCTGTGGGAGATTGGCAGGTCCCCATTGGACTGAGCGAGAAAGTGCCACAAGACAAAAATATCAGCGTTCGGGACATGATGAAGAAAGCCTTTATGCTCAGAGTAACAAAAAACAGCTTGTGTTGAATACCTCCCGGATAGAAGGTGAGGCGCCCTTTAATGTAGCCGAGTGAGATGTGTCACTGGAGGAGCAGATGAGATACCAGAAGCCTCACGACCACGTGCTCTGCAGGTTTTGCCAAATATATATCAAATGTAGCAGTGTGCATCAGAAAAGGTGTTGATGGAGCAAATACTAGTCACGGTCCTGAACTGCATCTAATTCCAGGGAAAATGTTTAACTCAATAAATTTTTTTTTTTTTTTTTTATATATATATCTGCCGGGACACAACTTTACAGACAAATGAAGTCAGTGTTTTTAGCATGCAGAATATTTTACTGAAGCTTTTATTTTGAATGTGTGATACATGATAGGAGCAAGGTCACAATGCTTATTGCTGTTCAATATCCATTTCACTTTAAAATCATTTTTGCGTTAAAGATTAACACAACAACTGCTGACTTCAGTCATTAGAGTGTCATCACTTCCAAATAAATTACACCCTGCCAAACAATTTTAATATTGTTTTATGAAGCTGTATTACGCAGAAAGGTGTAGATTTATTCCAAAATGCCCAATAACCCACCAAACCAAACACAAACTTATGTAAACACAGCATACGTAAACAGCCTCACCTATTTGTCATTCCAGGTTTGAATGACTCCTTTCTCCATCCTTCTCCTCAGAGGTATTCCCTCGTTCTGGACCAATGCTTCCTGCAGACCATTGACTGCATCCAGAAACTAAAGTAAATAGTGGAGCTGTGAACGCAGAGGTTAAAGTTAGCCATCAGTATATGAGGGATCTGTGAACTTAAGTCAGGCCAGAAAACGGTTTGTGCCTCTATGAGTCCATTCATCTCCCAGTGCCTCTCATTTACATGTAATGGAAAGAAAATAAACAGCAGATCCCTAATGTGCTCATTTACAGTAAGTAGGAGCAGAATAATAAGCTTTTATCTTAGCAGCGCTAAAGCAATGATAAGCACGTGTTTCTTTTTCTAAATGAAGTGTTCCTGTTTAAGTATACAGGAGTAAAACTGTCGTTGACATCGATTTCAAACATCAGGGACAGAGTTGTGCACTATAGCTGCTCACAACTTATAGAGACATGTTGATGAGACGAGCTCCATCAGCAGATGATCCGATCTTGTTTTTGATCAATGCCTCATGCTCTTATTTCAAATGTTTGTGTGAGAGTGCAGAGTGGTATCATGTCAACACTGTACTGTCAAGGCTTTTTTTTGTAATTGTGTTACATTTAAAAATAGGTGTCATCACTCTATGGCATTGTGGTTGGTCTTGTACTTTATATTAAATGCCCTGCAACAATGCAATGTGAAGCCAAAAATAATAAAACTTTTACTTAAACCCAACATCTTTTAAGTCTCTTTCATATAGTACATTTTCAATTGTGGTTGTTAAAGCCCAGGTGTGTAATAGACTTCACAGAAAAGTGATTTCTGTGCATGTGGAGTAAATAGAACTGCGATAAATACAGCAGCATCCTAGAGACAGCACTGTGAATTTAAATATGAAAGTGAAAATGGAAAAAGAAATGTATTGTTCTATATTGAATCCAGAAATACATCCATACTGGTGGTGGCATTGCTGCAGAAGACACCAGCTGTGCTACATAACAGACTTTGAAGGACAACAGTGCAAAGGCACAGAGAGCAAACTGACACAAAAACAAAGTGACACTGAGATGGTGACAACCCTGCTCAGAAAACTGCCATATTTTGAAAAAACGTCAGTAGCCTGAGTACCACCCCCACCCCCCTACTGTTGCTGTAGAAACACATCTGTCACCGCTGACTCACGGCTTGTCTTGTGCGTGCACCCCCCCCCCCTTGAACGGTAAAACAATTTTCTCACTCAAATTGGAATCGCTCTGTGTCGTATCAAGCGGACCATGGAAATGCTGTTGTCTTGAATACAACAAACCACCGCTGTCAGAGAATACCCACAGTGTGCACATTGAAGGGATAGTTCACCCAAAAATGAAAGATTCACTCATTATCTCACCACCATGCAGATGGAGGGGTGGGTGAAGTGTTTGAGTCCACAAAACACTTCTGGAGTCTCAGGGGTAAACAGCTCTGCAGCCAAATTCAATACAATAGAAGTAAATGATGACCAATTTTTCAAATAGAAAAAAACATGGCAGGGTAATTTCAGCCTAAATGTCCTCTGTGATCCACACACTAACACGGCTCCAGAGGGGATAACAGAGGACATGTAGACAAAACATGGTGTACATTACGCCATTTTGTGGCAAATTTGATTGATGGGGCTTACGGACAGTTCCATGACACAACAGCAGCAGTATGAAGGCATTTTATGCTTTTTTTTTTTGTTTTATTACGTTTGCATAAGGAGTGACCATTTACTTGGCTGCAACACTGTTTACCCCTGAAACTCCAAATGTGTTATGTGGAATCAAAGACTTCACCCCCCCCTCCACCATCAGCATAGTGATGAGTAGATAGGTACATTTTCATTTGTGGGTGAACTATTCCTTTAAAGGTCCAGTGTGTAAGATTTAGGTGAAAGGGAACTATTGGCAGAAATGTAATGTGGAATATTTCTCATGATGTTTTCACTAGTTCGTTTCATCTAAATTTTATGAATTGTAGTTTTCTTTACCCCAGAAAAGCCCCTTTATATTTAAATACTTAACATTTACATCGAGGGGACCCTCTCTATGGAGGCCGCCATGTTTTTTTTTTTACAGCTGTCCAGACTGAACAAACTAAACAACTTTTGAGTTTTTATGACAACTGAAGCTACCACAGGTTCTTTTTCATGTTTGTAAGAATGAGGTGTGGGGTGTTCAGCTGCAACATGCAATTTCAACACTATATCACTAAATTCTACACACTGTACCTTTAAGACCTATGTTCGCTATTTATGACCAAAATACGAAGGAAATGGACCTGAGCTGGAGATGTGAATCACTGGTTGTGTCATCGCTGGTGCATATATCCTTAATGTGACGACCACATGACAGTCACAGACAGTGGTGCTGAACTGTGATGCTGACTGTAGCTGCAAGGCAGAGAGCCGCAGTGAGGTGTGGGCAGGCCCCTTAACGAACACTGTTGTTGAACAAGTCCTTTAACACACACTGATATAATGGCACTGACTGTTTGCTCACTAATATGATGTGCCAGTGGGATCTGCTGCCTGGGCACCACTGATCACAGGAGGATGACTTTTGTAGTTGTACAATTATCTGATTCTTCACATTAAAAGAAAGCAGAAATAATTGGGAGAGACGAAAGATGCCAGCTGAGCCACCGTGACACCCCAGGAGGCTGCTTTACTGCTCAGAGAAATACAGTCTGCGGGTGTTTCATGAATATGAATGTATGAAGTTTTGTATGGACAACAATCACCTCCCCCCAATAATGCTTAGAGGATCCTTACTGTGTCTTCAAAGGTTCATATGCTGTCGCTCTTTGTGTAGCCTTCTATGTAAAATATATTTCAAGCTTTGGAGATAACCCTACATCAGTTTCATACAGTATATCACTCTATTGAAAAATTAGTGTATTCTGTCTGTCAGCCACTGTCGGTCACATCTGCCTCTGTCTCTCATCTACCAGGGTCCTCACATTAATATACCTCAACATTTCCAAGCCCCCTTGCTTGTCCTCTACCCCTTGATACCAGGCGTTAATGGCTCCAAGCGTGTTTTCTCTATCACATAGAATGTAGCTCAGCAGACGGCCAAAGGACGAAAATGTCAAACGCTCAGCAGTTGTCCCACTGGATGAGACCTTTTTGACCGTCCAGTCTTTTGAGGCTTAAAAAGGCTAAATGTTACTTTCAAAATCTTAAAGAGAAAAATACTGCTGCAGATGATTCATCCAGTCATCTTACGGTTTCAGCTCCACCTTTCAGGATTGTTCTGTGTAGCAACACACAATCTGTTGTGTTAAGTTAAAAAAAAGCCCTTTCTCATTAAGTTGTTCGCAACATTTGGTGGAAATTGGTAAAAACTAGAACAGTACTCATTCGAGCACATACCTCCACAAAAGGTCCTATCTCGCAATGATAAAGAAAGTGATAAACAATTCCTTGATTCGCCCCTTTCTTTGGATCTGTGTCAAAAGTTTGAGGAAATCCATTCAGTAGTTTTTGCGTCACCCTGCTGACAAATAAACAAATAAATGGACAGGGGTGAAAACATTACCTCCCTATCGTTAACATGAGGTGCTTCATATCAAGAAAATGAAAAAAAAAATCCTGAATACACTAGTTTTTACGAATCCACTTCAAAATGTTATGGATTCTTAGTTGGGTTGTTCGCTACAAAATTAAATGGAAATCAGTTCAGTAGTTTTTGAGTAATCATGCCAACAGATCGAGAATAAAAAATAAAAAAAGGTATCACAATTAGATAATTTCTCATTAGCATCACTGACCTTGGTAAAAACTGACACCTTACAATCACAGAATTGGCTTTCTGTCATAAAACTATCCTTGTCTGCAAATGAAATGTCAGTTTCCTGACACCCATTGCTTTGTTAACTATAACAAAAATAGAAATGCAAGCCTAGATCGGAGCCGAATTTCACAGATTTTCCTCGTCTGGCTTTGAACTGCCACTATAGTTTGAAGGAAAGAGTTAATGACAAAAGTTTTGTAGATACCAGAGTTAAAAACACAGCAGGCTTCCTGTATGCCACCATCTGAATGTGGTATCGCTGATCTAGGACTGGAACAGTGATTGCATTCAATACTGCTGACAAAAGCCAATCACTGGGAGCTATTTCTGAGTGAGACTGAGGACAAGGGTTCTCATTAAAACCAAAAACTCTCAGGATGGGGATATACTATTAATCATCATCCACAAAGTCAGATTCAAGTGTGTTCTTTAAGTGTGAGGTCCGTGAACAATACAGACGCAGAGTGGCTGTCATCTGGGGATTTTTTCTGGAACTAAAATCTCTGATGACAAGATATTTTATCACCACTAATTACAGAATTAGGATGATGAAATGGTTGAGCAAATGGAAAAATGAGGAAGAATCCACTTTGACTTATAGATGAAGTTTGCTTCTGCTTGTCTCTCTACTGTCATTCAACTGAGATTCCTGTGACTTAAAGTTTGTGTGATTAGAAGATGAGTTTGGGTAACTGAGCCTCCTTTTTTTGGCTTTGGCATCTTAATAAATTGATATTTGATTGTTGTTTTTGAAGCTTGTCTTTTGTAATTGTGTTGTATTGATGCTAGGCCAATCCAGAGTTTCCTGTGGTGTTTGCATCTGTGAAACTTCTAAGAGAGAAACCACAGTCATCCTAATTTCTTCTTTACTGTTGTGCACACAAAGAAAATAAAGAAAACCTGAAAATATTTCATATTTAGGGATTCAAATTATTATTTTTTTTCCCTATGGTAATGTTTCACAAAAGTACTATTTTCACTGTGGGTTGCTTCTTTTATTTATTTTGTATTTAAAACAGACAACATAACAGTCTTCATGGATAGTCGTAGTCGTATGGATAAAGGCAACACACATTCCGTACACACACACAAAAAACAACAACTTGAAATGACAATTTTTTTTTTCCCACCTGAGTCGATCCCTAATGACTCTTGCCAAAGTAATTTAAATCCAACCCTTTCTGTCCTCAGGCAGGTGCGTATTAAAATTGGATTTCTCGGTTCTGTTGCTCTTCCTATTTTTCCAAAGCTGTGTGAATATTTTTTTACACTCCAGGCAATAAAGATGATGAAACTCGCAGCCATTTGCCTCACTGTCCTGCGCAGGGCCATCCTCGTGTTTAACTGTGCTTCCCCTCCCCCCACGTTGTGTGAACTGTCCCCAGCAGGATGAGCTGGTTGTAAACCACACCAGGTCTATTAATTAATTAATGTAGCCTAACTGCAGGGCTGCCTCTCCCTCCATTGTAGTGGAGCAGTTTTCAGCTGGCTGCAGTGGTGACGGTGGCTGGTGATTCTTTGGGTTCCTGCAGTGTTGTGGCAAAAAGACAGGAGATATAGGGACGAGCAGCAGCAGACAACTGTAGATGGGAGGAAGCAGTCAGCACCATAGGCACCATTAATCAACCAGGGCCATTGTGGTCCTGTCCTGTACACGGGCGCCAGTACGGGCAGGCAGGCAGACAGAGAGAGAGGAGGTGGTAGAGAGCGAGGAGCATAGGGAGAGGGAGAGAGGGGGCAGGGTGGCTGCAGGGAGAAAGAGGGGCAGAGGATGGTTGGGGATCAGCCTGTATGTCCACCTCAGCCCCTGCTGCGGGGCTGGGGAGCAGTGCTGCTGTCTCAGTGCTTGTCCTCCGTGTTTTCCCAGATCCCGGATCCCGAGGTAAGAGCCTGAATGCATCACTGTGTCCTCCACAGGTTCCTCTGGAGGGAATATCCTGAGGGTTTCTCTGTGATGGGTGCAGGTGCTTTTCCGTTTAAAACGTAGCTTTGTGTGATTTACGGTCGATGTTTGGTCGCCAGGGCTGTTGCTTCACTTGCCTTTTTAAAACGTGATTTGACGTTAAAACCTGACACACTATCAGGTTTGTACATGAACATCGAAGGGACACGTGTTTGAATGGGTGCATGGGAGGATGAATACGATGAGTCCTGGCACGAACAAGTTGTTTTTGTGCTCCTGGGCTCAAGAGAGGAGGGTTACATTGCACCTAACATTACTACTTAGATATAACAACAAACACAGCATCTGAAATCCATTTTGTTTTCTTAAAAATAAGATAAGAGGCAATTTACTTACATCGTGAAAACATGACTGAATGGACAAAATATCATCACCATTGCTGTATAGTGTAATTATACAGAAATCTATAACATAAACCGAATTAATTAAAAATCAAAACTTGTGGTTGTATATTATGGAAATCATAAACAAACTAAGAAGAAGAAGAAACCAGCTCTAATATTGTGATATGCTGAATTTTGATGCTGATTAAGGGCAATATGTCTAAAAAATGTGAGAAGAAACTTCCACAAGCAGCTGGCGAGAGGCTGCTCGACACCAAAAGCAGAGGCGTGATCAAGCTTGTGTTGGTAACAGATGTTGCTCAGTAAACAAATGTGATGTTCATACTATAACTATCGAGGTCTATGTTGCATAGGTCTCCGCAGTTTGTTTTACATAAGGCTTCTCTGTGGATGGTGTGCTTCCAATATTGATCCTCTGTCTTCAAATAGACATGGCAAAGCTGAGAAAAACGAAAAGGTTGGGTATACCAATGCACGTATTTTATAGACCATAGAAAAGCAGCTTTATATTCTGACAAATCAACACACACTACAAACCTTATGGTCACAAACTTGTATTCATAAGTCCCACTCTTACTGTGGCACCTTTCTATACAGAATATTTTAGTAAATGATAACTTGGTCATAGGTACTTCATGTGCAAGTATCCCAGTGCTGATTTATGTTAATCTTTATGTAGCGAACAAATCAACCATCCAACAAAACAAAATATGTAATAATTGTGATGTATGATTACCATGAGGTAACTTGGGGTCACTGTGATTCTGAGTTTGTGCTGTTTGTTCCCACCAAAACAAAACTTAAAGCCACTAATCTCGCCACATAATATGCCCCTCCAGAGAGGAGGACTTAGAATTACATAATCTCACTTGAGGCAAAAGGAATTGCTAAATATCCTCATCAAGGATAATCCTTCTGTGGGAGTCACAGAACCGCAGCACAGAATTCATTCAGATCATTTTCTTTGCAGCATCTTTGCTGAGGTTCACAGTCCCTCTTGTGTCCTCCACTGGAGACAAACAGTAGAAGCCCCGAAAACAGCTTGTAGTCACATTTGTCATGTTGGCTCACTAACGAGTATCAGGTCCACACAGTAAAAGCAGGTTATTTTTATCCTGATCGCACAAAAGACATTTGTTTCATTCTTTCCACTCAAACTCGAAGAAATACCTTCATCTTAAAAACTTTATATGCAAATATACAATAGTCTCAAAACTAACCTCCTGATAGAGCTTATTCTTCATATCTAATACTCTGTTGAGCCTCATTCCTCAGTGTTAACCATCTTAGCTTATATTTAGAGTGATTCTCAGAACATGTTTCTATTTCTCCACGTAATGGGGTTATCGGCGAAGACCAAATGTGATAAATGTCAATTTTCTAATGCATCGCCTTTTCCTATATGGACTAAAGTATAGAGTTTCCACAACAACCTTGTATCATCCAATCAAGTAATCAATTTGCAGTGGGGGGGGGGGGAGGCTCCTGATGGTTTTATCTGCAGGCTGCTCCAAGGCATTGATCAAACACAGTTTTTCTTTTACAAATCCCACCCGTGTTTGTTTTTGGACTCTATTCACTGAACTTTTTGAATCAGAGAATTAAGGCATATAAAAGACATTGCGAAAGTTCGGACAATATGCAAGTACATTCCAGAAACCAGCTTACTCTAACTGCAGTGTTTTAAGGGAGTCTGGATAGATTAGGTGGATAGTTACACCAACAGTGTGAACGCAGCTTATGACATCATGGTATTGACCCTCACAGACTTCAGAGAGGTGAGGTTATAGTGACATTAGATGTGTTTGTGGATTAACTGTGCTGAGACTGTTATGCTGTAACGTTTGACACTTGTGTGATAACTGGTGATTGGGGAATTCAAATGTTTCTTTCATGTCCGTCATATGGCTGCAAATGAGAACAGTAGATTCAAAAAGATCATCATTAATTCTTTTACACTTGAATTAAAAAAGATAATGGAGTAAAACCAAATACTTTGGTGACATTCTACATTTACTTTAGGTCAGTGTTATCACACAGAATCTGAGCATAATCCTCTTGGGTTTCCTCTAAGAACTTGTTTACTCCCTGAGGTTTGCTGTCTGCTGTAAAACCCATTTCTGAGGATTTATTTTTTTTCACTTTTCCCCCCACAGCTTTTACCAACAGAGCCCCCAAAGAAGCCGGACCCCGTGACCTCAGAGACCGTCGTTTTCTGGGGGTTGCGGTTATGGCAGGTCATTGGCATCTTCGCGGTGTTTGCTTTGGCAGTTGGTCAGTATGTCTCAAATCATTTTGTTTTCACCCTCATTAATCATTCTTGAAACACAGACAGCTATAATGAGAAATAACTGCAGTCAAATGAGGTCTGTACATGAAAGTACCGCTCCAGAATATTGTTCATTATTATTAATCAAGCATAGTGTGAGTAGAAGTGGCACAGGGGATAAAAATATCATCACGGTCACTTATGCGTTTCCAGAAGTGACTCAACCAAATAAAAGCAGTGACATGAGGAAAGAGAAACTACAAGGGGTTCTAATATCACAAATCTTTGTTGAAAATACAGATGTTAATTTTAAAGTTGTGCATCTCCACACAGTTCAACTGAGACACCTCTGATTTAACCCCTTACTGACAAGACAACTTTGGTTTTATTTACACAGGTTTTAAAGTACCTCTATCCAAAGTTTTCTGCTTTCACTTCGATAACAAGAGGTAAAATCACATTTTGGATTAAAGAATGGAAAACTGTGAATCTGGTGGTTTGAGATAAACACTATACTCTGCAAAAATTCATCTTAGTTTAGCTTGTTAGAAGACTGATTGTAGATAGAAGATAAACATTTGCAATATAGTTCTAAACACAAAAACAAATTGCAGTGGCTGAAATTGTGCTTTGGTTTTTACGGGTATTTTGTCACAAACAAATTTTAAATTTGGGCAGATAATGGCTCAAGGTAAAAGTTAAATCAAATTATCGAATTAATCATTTCAGATTTGTCTGGAGCAAATTTAACAACAGTCTATCCACCAGACATTTCACTTTAAAGCATGAATGTGAATCTCACAGTGTTGCTACAGAAAAAGTCCAGGGATTGCTCACAATCAGAGAAATGTGACTGGATGAGTGAAAGCCAGCAACACAAAACCGCAGAATTCACCAAAGGAAATAATAGAAGGATCAGAAGGACGCTAATAAACACAAAAAAAGGATGAAAAGAATAAAACAAAAATATAAAAAGACAACATCTCAAAAAAGGCAAGTTTGTAAAAACAGGTTTTATGAAGTGATTTAAAAGAAGGTCACTGGTCATTCATGCAGGTCTTTCAAAAGCCGAGGGGACCTTATGGTAAAAGCACCGTCACCTTTAGACTTAAGAACTCCACTTTGGAACGACCAGATGGGCCCAACCTGAGGATCTAAGGCTGTGAGCTGGATCATATGGGGTCAACATTTCTGCTATGTGGTTGAGGGCCAGACCAAGACCAGCTTTAAAATTGATCAGTAAAATCTTACAATTCATTTTCAAACTTTACAGGGAGCCAATATATGAATATATATCCAAAATTGGTCAAATAGAACTAAATCTATTTATCTATCAGTTGACCCTTAAAAACTGTCTTCATACTTCATACTACATTCTACTGAAATAAAGTCCTTGTGTCTTGTGTTTTTGTCCTTCTCCCTCAGTTATCACACTCTGCTGTATATTCAAATGTCGAATCCCAAGAACCAAAAAGGAAATTGAGGCGCGACACCAACAAAGGCAGGCCGCCAAGAAATACGCCAACACATTAGAGACAGTGCCACCTCTGAACGAGCTGACTGAGATCCCAGGATGTGAGTTCCTCTTTAACATCTATCCAGTGTTATCATAGCTTTATTAAATTGGTAATAATAACGATAACAAGCAGGAGCGCTGACTCCAATGTGAATGGCTCCTCTCGCTCTCTTTTGTGCCTCAGTTTTTTTTTAATCCTTTGTTTGGACGAGCAGCCTCAGGTGCTGGTTGACTGCAAATGAGAAAATTGAAGATAAATAAATAAAGTTTGAACTGTCATAGACACGACATTATGTCCATTTAAGGCATTTAGGTCTGTTGTTGCTTTGTGTTTAAGAACAGCCTACATGTGAAAACCAGGAAGAATAACTTTAGTGAATTGAGCTCTCTGAGGATGGAGAGCTGCATTTTTTTGTCTCTTATCTCTGAGCAGAGGAGCGTATTTGATGTCTTACAAGACTCTCAACTGTTGTAGTCCCACTCCAAGATTAAGGCAAAGAGGACAGCTGTCTTTTTACATAACTTCTTCTCCAGGGCAGCTGTAATTTTTTTATTTTCCCTCTTGTTATCTCACAAGATTTGCTTTACTGAATTCTTCTGCTCTGTTTTATGCTTCTGCTCTGCTATACTAAATTTCCTCTTCTCCTATACTCTTTTCTTCTTCTCTTCACCTACTCCTTTCTTCTCCTCTTCTTTTCTCTTCCAGCTGCCCTCGATGCCTCTGCAGTACAAACAGTCTCTGAGCAGGTCCAACCTCAAAGTGCTGACAACAGCCAGCTCTCTATAACTGGGGTCAGCGAGGAGCAGCCCAGCTCCCTCAGTTTGCCCGAGACGGCATAATTTTCCTCCTTTTCTTCATATCTTATCTTCTGTCATACACTCCTCTTGATTAAGTGACTTTGAAAAACAAAAAACACAGTGTATACACACACTGGCTGCTCCTCTAAAAGTCCCTTTCATGCATCTACCATCCATGTATCCCATGATATTTCTTTAATGCCTGATGCGTAATGCTTGGAATTTATATACAGAAAGTAGAGCACAACTTGAAATCTGCTTGCAGGTGGTTGCAGTGCAGCAGTGACTGTGTGCAGCAGAACATTTTAATTATGGCTACACAATACAGATTGTACTGCGTTTTACAAATATGATTCTTGTAGAGCGGCTGGACTTCTGTAGTTTATACTTTTGTATTTTGTAAAGCTTGCATCCTCATTACAGCCTACATTCTTTTGATATAAATGCACAGATTTGCATGAAAAAGTTAAAATGACTAAAACTTTGTGAGAAATCTGAGTTAAAGTAATGCATGCAGCTGTTTGTGCTCCACTGTATGCTTGTCTTTACCTCTCTGTTTCCTCCTCTCAGATTTACTTTGACTAAAGCAAGTCATTCATACAATTTCCTTCCCGTGTTAATTAAAATTGATTACAGATGTCGGCGCTGGTGTCGTCTGTAATTACAAGTGCTTTCTTTTTTCTCTCTGGGTTTTGACTTGAGTCTACCTAACCCATCTCAACTGCTCAGCTGTGGCTTCTCCAGGTTAAGAATGGTGACTGATACGGACTGACATCTGTCTCGTCTTGTTCCTCCTGATGATTTATTACGCATTTGTGTGCACAAATACAGAAATTAATTATGGTGGAACAAGCACTGACCTGTCAATAAGTTTTCTTTTTCTTCCATGGAATTTGTGTCAAGTGAGATTGGCATTAGAAGAGGGGGGAGAAGAAAATCACATGAAAAACCTACTATGGCAAGAGCGTCAGTCTGTCTTCAGTCTCCAGAGACTTGATCTACTATGCATCGCAGTAAATCCTCTTCCGTGACTATTTAACTAATCAACCATGTGGCTGGGAGGGGAGCTGAAGGGGCTGTACTGACTGCAGCCATTATAAATAGTAAGGATGAACACGTATTTATCAGCTGCTCTCAACCCTGAACTCCAAACAAACCATACTGTAATTTGCTTCTGGGGGAAAGCAACATCACTGTGAGTAAATATGCAAATTGCTTCCTTTCTCTACTGATTATATCAAGAATTGTGCCACAAGAAACATTTGATAACCAAATGACCACAAACAGTGAATGCAATGTCACTGAATGAAGATNGAAATCTCGGATTCTATTTACAGTTTATTTTCTCGCTTGCTTTCTTGCAATTCAGATAAAGGACTCTTCAGTCCTCTGTATAGTGTGTATAGGAACAATACCAGACCTACTGCATGGATTATGATTATAAACTAATCCAATACTCAAAATGAGTAAAGTGGAACAGGGAACCGAGGATTGTGCATCAGTAGGAAAATCTCATAGGCTACAGGCCTGACAACAACATCTCTGCTCTGAATCACCTCGCTTCTCAAACAAAAACATTTACAGAAAGCAGAGAGGCAGATTATTAAAAGAGCCTAACATGTCGGAGCCCATTGCTACCAATCACTGTAAGCGACAAGATAAACGGCAAATGTAGGTGGTTAAGAAACATATTGGTGATATGCAGAAAAACAAACGTAATGCAGGAGAAAATGCAGAACGTCCCTGATGAAAACGCAACTGAGAATACAGTTTAGTTTTTTGTGTGGTAGAAAATACATTGTGAGGGAGGAACCAAATCTTCCTCTTGCATTATCCTTTTCTCTTCATCTGCCTCAGAAGCGCTCACACAGTTTCAATCAAACACAGGGACCAAAAAAAACACGTTGTGATATATTTGTTCTCACCAGACCTGATACTTTGACAGCACATGATTCCAACTGGGCTGGAAAGTAGGGTGGTCTCAGCATCACCAAATTGTTTATGGCTCAAACACACTCAAACACATTTCTCACACATCTGACCCCCTCGGGATGGGCAGTGAGGAAAAGGTCATTTTAAGTTCACAGCCGAAACAAAAGTTGGTGTGGTTACAAGTCTTGCTCGGTTCTGGTACAACAGTGATATCAGTCTGATGAGTTTTCTCTCAGAGAAGGAGCCCTGCTTATAATTTATATTCACACTGGTTGACTGGCAGACTGAACAGAATTTAATTTTACTGCAAACATGACATTCAATTTGAAATGTAATCTGTAATAACATTTCACTCACTCTAACAGTCGACTGAAATGTCTTCTGAAGTTCCCTCTTAATCACAATAGGTATAAACTCACTGTTAGAAGTAGAACTGCATAATGACACGCACACATTTGGTTCTGCACACACAAGGCGCAGGTTCAATCAGAGAAAAAATAAAACAAAGTATTTTAAAAAGCACACAACTTTACCATTTGTATTGTATATGATTTTGGTTTAAATATAGTGTTACATAAAAATATAATTGTAACATGTGTAACCTGTGGAAGAAGTAATCTTTCCCTGAGAATCTATGTCTCTGAACCTGGTCCAGTGTGTACCATTTATTTGAAAGAGAACTATTGGCAGAAATTGAATATAAAATAATCCTAGTGATGTTTTCACTAGTGTGTTTCATCTGAATCGTATAAATTGTAGTTTTCTTTACTCTAGAATGGGCCCTTTATATTTGAACACTTTATATTTACACCTGGAGCAGGTCCTCTCTATGGAGACCGCCATGTTTTTACAGTAGTCCACACTGGACAAACTAAACACCTTTTGAGTTTTTATGACAACTGAAGCTACCACAGGTTGTCCTTCATGTTTGAAAGGGGAGGGTGAGGTGAGGGGTATACAGCTGCAACATGAAACTTCACCACTAGATGTCCCTAAACGCTACACACTGGACCTTTAAATGCTAGTACCTCAATATCTGGAGGTACTTTAATTTTTTACATGTTGTCTTTGATTCACTTGTTTGAAAAGTAGATAGGCGTTAGCACCATACGAGCAGTAAGACCTTCAGCCCACACAAAACACACCAGACACTGATTTATAAGAATACTACAAACAAATATATCTACAAAATATTATGTTCAATGTAGATTTACTTAATGCAAATTTCCCTTTTAACAGTAAACCAATTCACAAATTAAACATAGCATGAAACAAATTACAACCAACATCATAAGAAGTAACTGTAACAATTAAAATGTCTGTACAATGAAATGAAACGACTAGTTGAGTTAGAATGTGTTTACACAAATCACCTTGTGAACTAACTTGAGCGACAGTAGCAGCTATGAATGTAGCTTAGCTTAGCTTCTAGCAGTAGCTAGCAGCTAAACCGCTCATTAACTAACATTGCTGACAGTATATTCCCATCACATCACATCACAAATGAATTAAAAATGCGGAGTCATGCTAATCGGCTAAACTGAGCAGCTAACTCACCTGGATAATCCTCCACATCCAGAAGAACACAGTCTCATCCAATGATAATTCTCTCACTAGTCTGTAGTTTAGCAGTTCTTCCTCTGGCCACACTGTCAGTAGTCCAACCGTTGTACATATTGTTGTTTTACTTCTTCTCCACACTTTACTGTTCGGTGCACACCTCCTCCACGTGCTCTGCAGCAGCTCAGTGCTTCTGTGTGAGCAGCACCTGTCCAGACTCTGCAGGCGATGCGTTCAAGTGACGTAGGCAAGCCACGTTACTACCAACATTTAAGGCGATGCATTTAAAGAACATCTGTAACTTAGTAAACTGAAACAGAAAAACATCCTGGGTACTGCAAAAAGTCAAAACATATGCAAATACAGAAACTTGCAGTAAATTGTGAAAAACGACACCGGAAATGTTTCCATGGGACCCAAAAAAGTGATGAACCTGGCTGTAGTTCAACGTGAATTTCCATCATCACTGACGAGTAGCAGACCGGCTAAGGTGTGTCTGTGAGTTTTTGCCATCCCACATGGAACCTAAAATGTTACAAGCATAGAGCCCAAGAAGCCACCCCCTAGCTCTGCCCCTGGTGTATGCCAAAAAGATTTGTATCAGCCGCATCTGTGCTGAATCTGACATTTAGAGATGTGTCAGGGTCGAGGCCTTTAGTCGAAGGCAGCATTAACCTTTGATTATTCCACGACGCTGCACAACAGGGAACGGGGGCAAAAAAGTCAAGTCTCAATTCCAACTTTGAGAAAAACTGGAACATAACGTCTGAGTACCAGATACATATGGGTTTAAAATTCAGACAAACAATTAGATTGCATCCTTGAGCCATCACCAACGCCAGCTTTAACTTGCCGCTCTGATGAAAACATAGCTCCAAGTTTTGTCTAATTCACACTGGTTTAAAAGGGAACATGTAGAAAAAGAGTAAAGTGAAAGAGTGGAGGAGAAATGCACGATTATAAGAAGACAGAAACAGTCAAGACAAGGGAATCTATTCATGACGTTCTATTGGTTGGTTGATTATTTTAAGTCACCTGGATTCATCCACCGGTAAAACACTGGACCAAAATCATTTCAGGTTTACTCTCGCCGCCTCCGGCAACTATTGACATTTGGTGTGTTTGTCGCTTGGCCTTTGTTTGTGTATCCTGTGTGTGTCTGAAGCTTCTCTAGAGCACTGGGAAAATGATTGCTTTGCTACTGGAAAAATAAATTGGAAATGATCCGACAAAGTTCCCTTATTTGACCCAAGCTAGAATCTCTTCTCTGTGCAACTTTCACAGTTTCAGTTGCTGAAGTGTAAAATCACACCAATGTTTCTTGTTGATCTATTTCATATCAGGTGTAATTTGTTAATTCTCGCCTGAAGCTGTTATTTCCTTTCCTTTTGCCCAGTGCCTGAAAATAAATAACTCCTGTGGGCTAAAATGTTCTTTGACTTGTTGACCTTTGACTTTCCTCAGTTTTCAGGAAAAATAAATACAAGAAAAAATCCAGAATGGCACTCAGTAAAGTGCATACCTACACCAAGGCCTAACAGTCCCTGAATTCAATAAAGCCACACCAAACTGCACAGTCATAGATATCTGTCCCATAAATCTGATATTTTTTAATGAAGATCCAGGAATTATTCTATGGGTAATTGGTAAAAATAGAAATAAAAATGCCTCACAATGTTAAAAAAATGTGGTAAAGAATTTGTGGAACAGCCCCTTTATCCGGGTTTATGCCAAAAATGTTCAAACAAGCAGAGGTAAGCGTTCTATTGTGTGACATTAAAAAAATAAATAGTGGTATGAATCTACTCATCAAGTAGATGTGATGATTTTCAAATGTGGACAAATGTTCCCACATGTAACCACGTGTTTCAGCACAACATATGGAGCACATGTGGAAATCATGGTAGCATGATGTGGTACCATGTACTGCATATGGGTTTCACATGTGTATTTACTGGTGCTTCACACATTTTACCACCGAGATTTTCCAAAACCATGTTTCCCATGTGCAAAGCACATGTTTAATGTATGCAAAACATGTTAACACATACATTTGTGTGTACTTTTGCGCATGTAATTTTTTTTAAGGGCAGTGTATTTCCAAAAATTTTCAATTCAAAAATCTCCAGTCCAGACATAATATTTTATTCTAAATACCCATTTAATTTCAAGTTAATTGAATAACTTCAGTATCACACTAAGCAGACTGTAAACCTTTGTTCTCCATTTCTCAGCCAGAGAGCACTTCAAACAATCCAATTAAAAGAATAAATAGACCATGCTTATGAGGACAGATAGAAACAGATGTGCCTTCATTATATGTAACCTACTTAGCCCGGCATTCTGTCGGATTAAATTCTTTCTTCCAATTAGCGATGGAGGCAGAAACCTGATGATACCTGATGCCAATGATTTTTTTTTCTTTGTATTTCTACCACAGCTGCAAAAGCAGAAGAAAAAGAGGAGGTGCAGACCGTCTCCGGGAAAGTAGATGCTGATAAAGCAGAGAAGAAGACGAAGGAGGGCAAGAAAGAAGGAAAGGGTGCCAAAGAGGGGAAAGGAGATGAAAACGATGCATCAACAAAGAAGAAGGGTGAAAAAGGTGAAAAGGGAGCAACCAAGAAAGAGGATGGTGATGGGAAAGGAAGGAAATCTGGAGAGAACGGGGACAAAGGGGAAAAAGGAGCTAAAGGGGGAGCTAAAGGGGGAGCTAAAGAGGGAGCTAAAGGGGGAGCTAAAGGGGGAGCTAAAGGGGGAGCAAAGAAGGCTCAAAAATGAACTGGACCTTCCACTGACACACATTGAAAGAGATTATTTCATTTTTCACCACAAGCATTTCAGGCACTTTTTTCTTAAATGTAATTTGTATGATATTATATTTGAAATAAAGAAAAATCTTATGTATAAGAACATGCATTATGGGTATTTTGTCTAAATCAAATTCACAACAGTTGAAAACATGTGAGTACAGATTTATTGACTTATTCACAATTCACTGATGAACATTATAAGACCAGGAACCATCTTCTTATTTTATCTTCCAAGTTTACACTGATATCTACAACATGCCTACATCACGATGGAGTGATGAGAAAGAGAGACGTGTGTCGGAGAGCACCGCTCACACGCTGCGTCTAAAGCACGAAGAGCGACGTCCACTCCACTGAGCACATTTCGGCACAAGATAAATAAAAAACAATTAAACACATTTTTTACTTCCATGAGAGGTATTTGAAAACAATGAAATTCAACATTAGCTCTATGGTTATTGGCCTTATTGTACACTTGACTCCAAAACACAATCATTTTACATGATACAATCAGAACAAAATACTGTATTATAGGGTATTAAAGTGCTCAAATATATAAATTTCCAAGTGTTTTTCTTTCATAATAAAATATTTTCATGCTCTGATACCGCCCCTCCTTTTAATTAAGAACCTGGATTATGCAACGGCAACATGTTTACTTGCCCAGCGGCAGTTGGTGGAAAGTCTGAGTGAATCTGAGGAACAACTCCCTCAGTCAGCTGCAGTCTTAAATCTTGTACATACTGTAAACTGTACTGATGGTATGAAACTGTAATATCTACAGAGGGTTCCCTCAGTCTCAGTCTTTTTCCATCCCTGTGGCCTGCAGCCACATGTAATTACTACTGTAGACAATCCACCCAACCTCGAGTCGCAATCATGAGTGATCCTCATGCAAACGTCCAAGCTGCGTCCATTTTGTCTGCAATAAGAAACGTATAGAATATGACCAGATTTATCTAATAAACATCTGCCTGATGGGAAAACAGTAAAGGCAGTCTGTCACATGATTTACATGTTTTCTATTTTACTCTTTGAGATGCAGTGTAAATCTGCTGGATGGACTGGAGGCCAGCACAAACTGAGCGGACCAGGATTTAACCTTTAAAAAATGAGTCAAGCACAAACCTAGCAAATCTGTGTAATGGGAGCATAATTCAGTCAGTATGAAGTCACACTGGACGAGAGCGCTCGCCACAAACGGTGGTGGCCAGATGCAGAAATACAACAGAAAAGCTACATTTTTCTGAATCTGATGTGATTAACCTCTCTATTAGAGATATATGTTTACTGTCTTCACACCCAAAAGTCCTGTTTTTGTAAAATAATTTACACTAGTGTTGGTTTCCCATTTTAAATTTGGGATTTTTGCCGTGTTGTCAATTCAACAGGCAGTAGAGTTTCTGTTTGAATGGAGAAAATGAATGGACCGATTTATTCAGGCAATGTTGTTGCCACTGTGATTAATTATGGATTTACTACCAGCATGACAAACTCTAGGCTTAGTGCTCGACGCGAGTTCGAATGCCCCAGATGAACATCCTCGTCGTGCAAACACTATATCGTCAAATTTATTCAATTTGTCAATCTGGATTAATAAACCGAGTTATATTCCTCCATAAGAGACGTCTCAGTTGTTACTACGCCACAGAGAGTTGTTTTCTCCTTTGACACAAACATTTTACATGAAATTGAGTATTAAATATAAAAAAACATCAATCTACAGGGGGGGACTGAACTCTTTCACTGTGACATTTTCCTACACTCACTATCAGTAGCACTTTTATTTTTTTTCTTTTCGGGACAGGATGACTTTAAGACGTTTTAGTCACAGTTAACACTGTAACCTTTTCTCTGTGACCTTTTCTCTTTGGTATAATATAATTTGTGACCTAACCTGCAAACTATGTAGGTTACGAGCAGTAAGTTTAAAATATCTCGTGGAATGCTTCATGAAATGCCAGTTTGAATGCCCTCGATCACCTGTAAATATATTCACCAGTTGGTTTTTTTGGACTATTTACATAAATCAAATATTGCAAACATTCCGTAAACAAACACGTGAGAAAAAAAATAAAGATACACTGAAACATAGCTTTACAACATATCCATACACATGAACACTACTAGCTCACAATTAGAATGTATTTCTGACCTTTGTAAACATTGTGACTTGTATATATATACATCAAAAAGCAGCATAACACTGGACCATCTGTAAAAACTATACTGTGTGTTATTCATTTCTGGGTTTTCCTTCATATCCGCCACAAATGTCACTCTTGGAATTCCAAGGGAATTTGAGATTTTCCTCATTCCTCATTTAATTAACATTCCACTGGAATATACGGCCATTTCCTGCACCTTGTGTTTTGAAATGGGGGGGTCTCTCTTCCTTTGAAAACTTTGCCGAGAACACATGATACTATTTCTGTCAGATTTCAAAGTTTGTCAAAGTTCCTCTTTACCTCAGCTAACACTGACAGAGACAGTCTTCTTCAAAGAAATATTCTCACTTTGGCATCATGTTGTGTGTGTGTGTTTTGCAGAGAATTTGAATATGAAACATTCATTTGAACTCCTCGACATCTGTTGTAATTAGAGCGATGAATACTGGGTCTTTCTAAACAGCAGAAACTGTACAAAAAACAGACTATTTAACACAAGCCTTATATAACGTCTTCTGAGTAGAAACGCTGACCAGGCTAGAACACCACTTTAAAAGTATAAAAATAGGTGCGCAACAACAGAGGACTTCAATTACCTGAGTACCTTTCCTTTTACACTGATGGATACAAGTCGATGCAGAACAAATAAACAGTCGCCCCATAATAGTAGCATTAATTCTTCTTCTTATGCCAAATCCAACTCTCTCTCTCTACATCGGTGATTAAGGCTGTTCTGGTGACGACTGCTACTAACCTCGGTTTGATTTATGCACAAAAGCTGAGCACAAGACATTTTCCACAAAAGCAATGAGAGAACAAGATAACAACAGTGGAAAAGAAATAAGACACGGCATTCTGTTCAGGCTTTTACACATTCACTGTGGCAGGTGCTCCTTTAAAGAGTATTCGCCACAAAAATGAAGCTTACACGAGTGATACACCTTTTTCGCCTTGAGCCTCTTCGGTCTCTACAGTTCAGGCTTGATTCACAGGAGGAAAATAAACTGGCAGTGTTGACGCATGCAGTCGTCCCCTTCAGACCATCCTGCGGCCGTGTTTCTGATTTGCTCATTTAGTTTTCATGTTCAGCGGCCTGTCGGTCACATGACTGTTTCCCGCTCCTCCTCAACCACGGGCGAGGGTTTCTCGTTCTCACAGGGCCTCGTGTGGGCTGAGTGCTCCTCCTCGGGAATGTGGAGCTCCTGTCCCGACGAAGGTATGGAGTTCTCTGAGACTGAGCCGTTCTTCACGTACCCAGGGAGGTTCCTGTGTCCGTTCACGGGCACCGGGCCCAGCCTCGTCGTGAGGTGCAGCGCCAGCGGTCCTCTGGCAGTGACGTTGGTTACACTGGTATGTGACACCATAGGTCCGTAGCTGTAGGTGTTACTGCCACTCCGAGCTTTCCTTTTGAAGTCCAGTGCCAGAGTCCTCCTGCTCCACGACTTTTTGATCTCGGCTTGTACCTTGGAGGAGGAAATGTTCTTTAGCGACGTAGGAGTATAAATAATATGCAGGAGGTTTTTCTGTGAAATGTGAAACTTAATGAGTACTTACCTCACCATTGCAAAAGCAATATATAATTGCGACGAGGAATCCCTGAAGGAGAGAGGAGAATGATAATATGAAATCTTATCTGTGTAATTGTAGATTTTCTATGGCATTTTAAAACCATTGGCCACTCCTCACTTCCTCTCTATCTTAATTATGATCTTAGAAAAATTAAACCCCTCAACAACAACAAGTATAAGATCAATGATTCTTCCTCTCATGCTGGAGAGGACACGTATACTGTGCCGACGGGTCTATTAGATTGGGTCGGCTTGAAAGAACATATTCATATTTATGTCCGTGGTGTCAATTTCTGGCCCTTCTAAAGCAGCAGCTTTACCTGGAAGGAGTTAAAAAGCATCTCGTAGTGCATCTGGATGAGCCAGGGGACTCCTGACACCTCTGTGTACGGCATGGCGTTGAATATGATGTAGTGGACACCAAACAGGGGCATCAGCACCAACGTGGACTTCAACAATTTTCTGTAACAGTATAATATATTATTTAAAATCTTATTTTGGAATGCTAGTTCATCCAAACAAGCAATTTGTAGACTTTCACCTTTGATTAGAAAAAAACTTTTAATATTTTACACATTTCTATACAATTTGAGACTTTAAAAATAGATATATATTACTGCTCATTCAAAACAATAACTGATTGAATTGTCTATAATGATAATAATCATTAGTTGCAGCCTTTCATGACGGTAAAGATTCATTATTATGCACAACAACAATCTGGAACCTGTCTTATGATTGAAATGAAATTTAAGCTAATATATTCATGGTATCATTACAATGACAGTGATGCAGGTTACATGCACATTAGATGAGGATTGAATTGAGATGAGCATTTTAATAGTCATCATTTTGCACAGCTCTAGCTGTATCTGTACCTGTACTGTTGTCTTGTGTCACATCGTCCAGCGTTTGTCTCTCGTAGTTTAGTTGCCAACACTCTAATGATGTTCAGAAATAGCATGAAATTAACCTGAAGAGAAAATAGAAGCACAATGATATAACTGAATGTCAATGCCAGGACACATGCAGGTGCGGCCAAACTGTGTCATTTCTTGCGCAGTAGGAGAAAAGAGTGAGCTGCGACCTTGTACTCACCACGACAGCTGCCAGGATAGGCACTTGGTAAATCCATTTCAAATTGCCTGCACTTAAGTCCCAACACCTGCAGCAACAAAACAAGGATCAGCAAAGATAAGTGAAGATCGAGGCCTTCAGATACCACTACTCCATCTTTCCCCTCCTTTTGCTTTTTTCTGAGCAACACATACAAATATCACATTAACCTATTTCCTAGGGTTGCCCCCTGAATGTCAAAGATTCAAATGAGCAGTCGCAAACTCCTCAATTGAATGAGATTCTCCAAGTCAAGCATCGAAAAAGAAATTGTGTCAGTCAGTCTGAAGCTGCTTCTGGGGCTCCTCTCTTTCACTCTGCTCTGTGGAGTAAAATTATTCTATGACGTCAAGTTGTCCTGTTTGCTTAATATCTGCAGTAGGTGTACAACTCCCTGTCGGCAAGAGCCAAGGGGCGAGTGTCAGAAAACAAATCATCAAATGTTCGCTTTGAAGCATCAAGTCTGATTTGACCATTCAGAAAATATTTTTTTTAATGAGCCATCTATTACCACTGCACTTAAGAAAAACACTCCATCAAGTTTTAGAGCTTTTGCAGTTTTTCTGTTATTAGAGGAAAAGCATAAATAGTGCTTGCTGTAACTCAATTTTAACCAGTACGGCAACTAGTCGACATGTTTGGCTTTTAGCCAAATGTCCACCATGACTTCTTACTCCATACTACCTATTACTGTTGAATGCACACAACACAGCTGTGGTTATTATCACGCTCCGTTTGTTTCCTGGCCAAAAAAAGCCTTAAAGGAGACAGAAATGTCCTGCTGCTCTCCTGCAGCTGCTGGAGGAGATGGGTATGGTGCACACAAGCTGTGCCCATAAAGAAGCTGACGGGGAATCAATTTTATTTTACTCCGCTTTCAACCCTGACATCAATCTTTACAAAAACACCTTTGAGAGTCAGGAATTGTGAAGAAACATTGTTTTTAAAATGATCTTCAAACGTAATAATTTAAGCCTTAAACCTGGAAAAATCAACTTTACTTGCAACTTTGATTACACCTGCCCTCTTTCCCTCAAGAGCATGACCTTCATATTTCTGCATGAAAGTTTAACCAGAATAACACCTACATTATTCATACACATCACTCACTCTGTATCTGCAAACGTGGCTCTCACAGTTGCCCAAACTGTCACAAACATTGCTGGTACTCCTGAAAAATAAACATAAAAACACATATATTACAATTGCTTTGAAAAAATTGCATCACTATAAGAAAATACATAATTCCAAACTCAAAGTCCAAAACTTGCTATGCAGGTAGAACCTGGGTAGCACAGCATCCACATTGTATGCGCTGTGCTTATGTAAGTTATACGCACAGTGTGTACAATGCAGGAACTGTAAAGCCCATATTCAAGCATGTGTGTCTTTACACAGTTTCCACTGATGGCGAGCCTATTTCAAACATTTGAATATTATATATAAGATTCAAAATTGCATGTTATTAAGCCTACTAATCATATTTTAATCACATGCACACAGAATGTAAATGAAGCAGCACTCACCCCAGCCAATCAGAGTGAATCCCCACAGATACTTTCTGTCTGAGAAGAAGGTCATAAAAATGAGGCTATGGAGATACAGGCCCTCAACAAGGATCCAGTAGTAATTGGTCGCAAGAAAGTACATGAACAAGGTCACCACCACCTTGCAGCCAATCTATAGACAAAGCAGACAAGAAGAAATATTGGTGATCAAACTGTTTCTTTATAATCTTCCACTCGTGCTATTACATTAACTGATGCTGATGCTGTTTGCAGACAGGAGCTGCAGAGCGAAGCAAAGCTTAACTTGAGAATTCAACACTCGTAAATAATATCTCAACAAATGAGCAAATATAAGATATATAAGATATAAATATATATATATATATATATATATATATATATATATATATATATATATATATATATATATAAGACAAGCAATGAGGAAAAGTATTATGGTTCCCTTTAATTGTGTTTTCGACCGTGTGAATTTCTCCTGGGCCCTGTGACATTTCATCTTACCATGTCTGATTTGAAGGGTGATATTAATCTTGTTAGTATTATGTGCTATTGTATTGACAGAGTGTGTGGAGGCCTCAGAACAACATAATGATTTATGGGCTTCGAATCCATCAATTCTGCTCCAGTTTGTCAACCTCCACATCTTTATCAAGCTTCATATATTGCTGGTGTATGGTCACAATATGATTATTAGACCCTGTGCTGAATACCAGTCTCACTGTTTGTATTCTAGCACTGATAAATCAGGGGGTTTGACCCAGGGCAGCCTTATACTCCGACTTTAATCTGACTTCCACGTGTTTATTAAAGGTCTGTGAATATTTTGGTTGCTATAAATATTTCAGTTTTTTCCAGGAGTAAAGTGTATTCAGAAAGTTGCTGATTAATACAGAAGCTTTGTCGCAAATCCTGTTTTGTGCTGTGTGACTCCTCAAAATAGACTCCCTGAAATACAGCCAGACATAAAAGACAATGTGGAATCAGATGTTGATCACATTATGACATATACACATAAGTCACCAAATTAAGGAAATGTGCAAATGTGAAGGCTGATAATGAAAACCTACTTTTAGAGCCTATAATGCTGTCAACTCTATCCATCCATCTATAAGCTATGATGCCAATCCTTGGAGGACGTGGTGAGGGGGACATTGGGTGAGAGGTGGGGGAGACCCTGGAGAGGTTTCACGTCCATGACAGGGCTGACACATAAGACACATTCACACCTACGGGCAGTTTTGAGTTTCCAATTAACCTGTTGTAAAACTAAACCTGGGACCTTCAACCTCATCCTCAAGGGTCATTGGGTGAGAAGTGGGCTCCACTCTGGAAAAGTCACTGGTCTATAACATCTTTATGTCCACTTTAAAAGTCTTTTTTTGAATATATCTGCATTCATTTTTGTTTGTTTGTGTAAGTCAATTCAAGAGAGCCGTGGGATAAAAGTGTCCACTAAATACGTTACACAAATTGTTTGTTTGCATATTAAAGCATGCATGAACAGTACCTAGTCTTCACCCAGGGAAAGCCAGGTACTGGTCTAGTAAAAACTTGGCATGGTGACAGGCGGTGCAGTTTATTTGCTCCTGCGCAAAATACCACTTACCACAAAATTGCACTAAAAATCTAATGATCTGTGCACATAATGCCATCAGACCTTGATTATTCTTAGAAAAAGATTATTAGCTATACTGAGTAATCTGTGCAATAGTCAAAACATAAATATAGAATGTTACTTGCAAGAAATGCAAATGGACCTGGTTTTAGACACTTGAAGAGCAAGCGAGGAAGCTAAATTCATTTAGTGTGTATAAAAATAACACAATAAAGTAGTAGCTAGAATGGCACTAAAAAGAGCACATACCTCAGCCTAGGCCTAACAGTCACATTAAATTCAATCAAGCTGCAACCAAAATTTCACACACTCATAAAAATCAGTCCCTTAGATGTGCCCGGTTGTTTCTTTCATCAAGATCCATGAATTATTCCGTGCAGTGAAAACGTCATATAACAAAAAATCTCACAATGTTTAAGGATCTGCCAAGTTAGTTTGTGTGTAATCTTGCTCACAAACAAACCAAAAGACAAACAGACAAGGGTGAAATAACACAAAGGTTTCACCACTGAACAGCACAATGTGAGACAAAGTAAATGGGTCTTCAGAGTGTCAGAGCCACGACATTAAAATTCCAAACCTTCTGTTTGAGCTGAGCATTAGGGACGACTGGTGAGCCCTGGTCAAAGGACAGCGGGCATGTCCTTATATTACCTGCTTGTACTACGTGGATGGTGCATGTCAGAGATGAATCCAGGTAGCTGCACAGCTCTATACGTCCAAACAGGCCCTATAATATTAATCTTGAACTTGAAGGGAAGCCAATAAAAAGATGATAAGATGGTGTGAAGTGAGAAGTCCTGCTGGACATCATTAACAGTCTGGCGGTAGCGTTCTTGACCATTTGTAGACGTTCCACAGACAACTTGCCAATACCGGTGAAGAAAGGCATCACCTTTCATCCCCTAAGCTTCCTGGTGAAAACGTTTTAATTACCTACAACCAAGGCCAGTTGCCCTCAACCTGCACACAGACTGATTCCCCGTCAAAGAAGGAGTTCAGAGTGGTTTTCCTTGTCTTTGTTCAAGATTCATAGTGCTTTATGTTGACCCCATACATGCTGTAAGCATGTTCCAGCCGTGTCGGCGTACTTACAAACTGTGTTTTGTTGGCTGGTGGAGCCTCGGTGATGGACTTGAGGTCTTCCACTGTGACTCTTTCCATGTTCTCTAAGGCTGATCCAGAGTAGAGCACAATGTCTTTCACGAAAATACTTATGGCTCTCAGCATGTAGGACACGAATAGGTGCATATGGATGTAGTTCCTGGTGCAGTGTAAGCGTCTGGGGAGAAAACACACGAGACGCAAGGTCAAAAGATAGATCTGCTGTGTTTTGTGTGTGTTTGTGTGGGCTGGCACACTTTAATGTGTAAGTATTTTCACAAACACATGCACATACACACACACACAAATAATACTCATCCTAATCGGAGCCAGCTGAATTCCACGCTGACTGAAACACATTCTTGAGATTTAGGGGCTTGAAACGTACAAATATTGAAATGCGCCGCTCAAATTGAGCTGTAAAAACAAAATTGCAAGCATGTGTTGGGAAAAGCCATGCAAATTTCCTCCCAGACAAGCGCACGTTTATCTGTCAAGATTCCTCCCTAAACATCCTGTTTGAGAGTTCCCCGTGGAATCGGCTTGAGGTCAGGCTCCTGTATTGGAACCAAGCCTCTGGATCAATAGCCACAAAGGTTACCTCATTAAGTTAGTCAATTAAAATATTTATAGTGAATTCAATAAGTTTTTACTGCATCACAAAAGAGACATTGAGCAAGAATATTCTGAAATTTAAAAAAAATCACTTGATATTATCACTCTGTATCTAATAGCAACTATTCAAGCATCAATAATGAGCTAAATGTTTGATGGGCTACCCTCAGAGAACTATTGATTTAGGAGCAGCAGGCAAAGACTAATCTAGTGTACATTTCCCTAGTGAAAAATACTGAACAGGACTGCTAATGTGAAATATTGCTTTTCTCCCCCTTGAAAACATTTATGAGCTCCCCTGTCTAAAAGCTGACATGTTGAAGGGGAGACACGGCTGGAGTGCTCCGCAGCACAGAGCCAGAATGTCAGATGGGCCCCTGGGATAACTTATTAAACTCATTTGGCCCGTGGATTTCCTGGTGCCAGTTGGGAGCGTTCCTAAAGCCGTCTGACTGCCTGCCTGTACAGTAAGTCAAGCTGGTGGGAACATTGGTAAACAGCGTCTTTACATTAATTCCCTGATACTCCCTGTGCTCACCAAATATGCAAATAATGACAAATCTGCACTGCATTAATAAGCTGGGAAGAAAAAAATCCTTATATTTGACTGGATTCTTCACATTTTCAAGCAACTTATCTACTTTACATATTTCAGTGGTGGAGAAGTGGAAATTAGTGCACACTTTGTAGCTGGAGAGCTGCACTCGGTCTAAGGTTGGTGGCCTTACAAAATCAATACCCAAGCTTTGGCTGTTTGTTGCCGAAATTGAAAACAGCATGAAAACAACAAGGAACCTAAATGTCGGACAATGAGGCATGCATTACGCCTGAAGGCGGACAAATCCTAGTCTGTTAAATGTCAAAGAAAGAGTCAAAGGTAAAGTCTGATACAGTTTGCTCGCTTCATGTTGTTTGCCGTGACGTGAAATATAATACACCAAACAGCGGGGGAGCGTTTCATGATTTCATGATAAAGTCTCCATCAAGAAATGAATACCCTCTCTGCTTGTGTTTATGACACATAGAATGGCATGGTGGGAAAATGGGGTTCAGCCTGCAACCGTGCCATTAAATATTTAAAGTCCCTGCTGTCAACCCCTCTGCTATTGCTCTCAACTTAATTTCTGACCCTGTGTCCGTATCACTCTCTCTCTAGAGAGAGCCTGTGTGGTTGAAATGATTGATCAAACAAAGCAGCATCGACTCACCGGAAATATCCCAAGATGACAACAGCCACCATGAGCGATCCCAGAGAAATGGAGTAGCCCACTGTGTAGATGAGATACAGACGGTGGAAGACCTCCTGTTGGAAGAGGAAGTGGATAGAATGTCAACAGGGCAGCAAATGGATAATCAGATGCATTAAGACAGAAGGGACTACAGCATGTTCTCCCCTTACTGTGGTACACTGCAGGTTTTACTGCAAATTACTGCAGTTAAAAACCCAGCTACTGTTAAAACCACCATGTCTTCTTTAGACAGACCTGCACCCACTGAGATCTGTCTATATGAGACAAAAACACTCTGGCTAGTTTGTATTTCTGTTACATGGTGCCCCTGCAAAACAATGTCAGTTAAAACGTACATAACATTTGCACATTAGAAGTTCAGCACTGTCTTTAAATTGGAAAATTCAATGCAAAGAAAATGCCAATGAGTGATTGCATGGTCTAAATCTTCATCAGAACGGCCATTTGTCGCACATGTCGCTTCACATGTCGCTTCCCCCAAATGAAATTGTTTCCTATAGTAAATTTGATTTTGAAAGTAGATGGGGAGGAGAACGCTGGCTGAAATAGAAATTGGGTCATATCCAACTAGAAAAAACTATAAATAGTAACAGGTAAACACACAGCATTGAAGTATTTCTCTTTTCTCACCTAGATCTTAATTTGAAGAAATGCCAACAATAAGCATCTATCTGGAAAAACTCATTTCCTATCTAATAGCCTATACCTGTTATTGTCATGGATGAAGTTTAGGAGGCTTCAGCTACAAAGAAATACAGAATAACTTATGGAAACAATGTCTGAGAGGAGAGAGGGGCCAGGTGGAGCAGTTTTATCTGCTAACAACAAGCTGGTGCCCAAGGACAATGTGAAGGAAGCCACTGACGAAGAGCTCCATGTGATGGAACCAAATACCACACTGCTGTTATCATTTAGCATCGGCATCCAGTGCCGGAGAAATGGGTGTTTAAGTTGTGGTGGTGGTCTGTGGTGTGGCAGATCTGCTGGGGGGGGGGGGGCTTTCGATCATGCATATGTATTGGTCATTAACTGCTGTCTCACAGGAGCCCATCAACATAAACATCTGAAGTCAGAGAGAAATTGAGGGGCGCCGTTATTAAGTGTATGACCACATCCTCCACACCACAGTCGAGAAGAGGGGAAAACGTATGTGGGACACCTGATATTTGTGAAACTTACAAATCAGAATGGAAGAAAGGGTCTTTGTTTAATATATTTATAGATATATTATTGTTCTGTAAGGATAAGTTAATTTGAAATTTATTTATTTACTTATTTTATTCTTTCTTTTTGTATGTGTAGGGATAAGATGTACGTGTTTGTGAAAAGAGGGATGAGCCAAATGCATTGAAATGTCACAGAAATACTGTGTGTTCATGTATGTATGTAAAGTTTCATGGCAAAATAAGAACATAACTATGTCAGTGAAAAGGCTCAAGTCTGCTGATTTTGATCACCCAATATATAGGCTGGGCTCTGGAAAAGAAATCAAACTCCCACAGCCTGATGTGATATCACTGTGTGGTGCACTTCCAACTGACCACAAACCCATCAAACACCTTGAGGACACCTGGGACATGTCGAACCTCCGACTGTGCCCCAGGTTTTTTATCTCAAACCATCCACCTCAGCCATGACCTCATGACTGAATTGGAGCAAATCTCTGCAGCAAGTTTTCAGATTTTCTTTGCAAATCCAGAGAGGTGAGGCAGTTTTTCAGTTGGTATCGAAAGTACTTGAGTGTAATGTTTGGGTGTTTCCAAACCTTTGGCCATGTAATATATATCAATTTAAAATAAATACATTTAAAGCTCCATTATTCAAAAAAAGACCCCAACATGTCGCAGAGTCGGTGGGTTTAAATTGCTTCTTATTTTCTGGTAATTGGAAGCTGGATACGAGGTTGACTCCCATTTGTCTTGTTCTTCATTTTCCCTGAATTACATGCTTTCAGGCAAGTTTCGCAATTTGCACTCAAGACTTATGTGACACTACTGTTTTCAGTTTACGTTTAAATGGACATTTAGCTAATTGCGGCTTCACATTATTACAAAGGAGACACATTTCTGTCCTCTGTCATTATCTCCCTCTCATCGTCTCAACATTTCATTAAATATGATTAAAGTTTATTCACACTGTACATTACTGAGAAGGCGAGTCAAACATGTGTAACACACTGAAATTGCGGTGTAAAGTGTTGCAATCGTTGCCTAAAAGGCTGTAATCGTGCGACAATCCAGTCAGGAGAAGAATTCACAGAGGCTATCGCTCTTTATTATCGTGAAAAATGAAGCTGTAACTCTGTCAATTAGTGTGTAAATGGTAATGAGGCCGACCTCACCTTTTCATGGCTGTGGTTGTAATGGTAGAGGAATTTTGCACATTCGTTATAATTGGCCCACGTCTTGTTGATAGTAGCCAACTCCCACGTTCCGTTGTCATCACACCGACGATATGCTAGTCCTGGACATCAAGCAGAAATGGATTAATTACAAAGTTTGCCAGCACAGTCAGTAACTCATCATCAGCTTCTTTTTCATTTAAACAATCATAATTTTTTATAAATCACAAAGAGACGTTTCAGAAGGAGCCCGGGTTTTTCTTGTGTGTACTTTACAGTCGTATCCGATGCCTGGTGCCCTTTCACCAACTGAATGAGCTTCAGGACCACGACTGCCGGCTGCATCCAGGGCCACACTCACCTTTATGGTTGAAGTCGTAGATATACTCCGGACAGGCGGTGGATATGAGCTTCCCCGGAGGCCCTTCAGGCCAACAAACGATGCCATCCCATTCTGGTGAGCAGAAACCATCTGCAGAGACAAGAGCAGAGGCTGACTTTTAAAAATAGAGCCACAGAGAATCGTTCACGCTCGATGTCAGCATCACATGGCCGCAGGCATTTACGACAGCAAGACAATACGTTTTAAAGGATCCTCTTGTCCTTTAAAAAACTAGGCCAGTTGCATGAACTTTACACATGTATGTAAATCAGCACCGCAGAGCAACCTTGTAATGTATGTTTTGTTTGAAGACGTACGCACGGGTCCACTCCCCCTCCACTGTTATATAATTAAGACTTGACAATTCCCACAATGCTAATAACAAGTTGTGTGTTGATTGTTTGTTCATTACAAGTTGTTTGTTGCCTGGAGCTGATCTCCACACTGACTTCATTGTTGATGACATCACACTATTTTTATGATTGTATGGATGTCATTTAAATTACTCCCTGCAACACTGGCTGCATTGTTGTAGCCCATCTAGTCTATTACTGCAAAATAAAAAAAGTGCTGAGAGTTATACAGCTTTTCTTTGCGGTTGTTTACGACCCACATCAAATGTAACTTAATCAAGAATTGTGCACTCTAGGAAATGTCATAGAACTGAAAGAAAAAATAAATTGTTCATCCGGCAATCTTTAAAAGTCTGAGTGTGAGTTTCGTTTGAGAAACAGAAGAAATTCAATTTAAAATAACATAAAAAAGAAAAGAGCTACTCTTAGGAATTAAGACGCTAGATTGATACAATATAAGTAATTTTGCTTTGTTAAATAATAATAATAAAATGTTATTATATGGTGCTTTTGAAAAACAGAGTAAAAGATAACTGTAAAAACTGATCAATTAAAAAATTTGTAATAATCCAATTATTTAACCATTAGCAAATTATTACAGCTTTAACCTTAGTGCGGAGCCCTAGTAGTCAACAAATCTATCATCTATCATAAATTACCAGAATATACAACTGTCACAAATAATACGATAAAATAAAATTAATAAAACAAAATAATAATCCATTCATTATCAATATTCCTTATCCTTAAAAAAAACCAATAATAATAATAATAACTTCTAAAATCTCTCGCCAGGTTTTTCAATCCTGACCATGTGAACTCCTTAAAGAAATACAACTTTTACAACATGTTTTAATTACACCTCACATGTTTAGTGTGAAACTATAGGATTGCCTGGTCAAATGAAACTGAAAAGAATTTTCAATTAAAGTTTATAGATGATTTGAGGCCGTGGTGAAGAAAGAGTAGAATGTAAAAATGCAAAGGAACCATCACAGCTTGAACCTCTCACCATTTTCTCCCACTTTCTTGAGATCCCTGCAAGATTGCTGACTGCATGCGTTTTACAGAACATCACAAAAACTTTGCCATCCCTTTTTTCAGTGAGGAATGCGCGCCAAGAGATTTTGTTATAATGCAGCTATACTTGGTTCAGACAAAGAGCTGCAGGTTCAAAGGGAACAGAAAATCTGTTTCGGGGCACAGAACCCCCTAATTGTCAGCTAAACCGTGGCCCTCAGCCCTCAGATAGTGGGAGCGAAATCCCTTTCCCCACAGATTCCTGGCAAAAGCCTCCCTTATGGTTTGGCATTTATGTTGTATTATTGAAAACATCTGCCCCACTTTGACCACTAATAAGTAGCTGAGGATAAAACTAAAACTATCCTCTCTTTGCAGTAGATCCATTATTTTCTCATTCCTGTAATCAAACTTACAAAGAAACATCTGAGGCAATGACGACATGCTTTTTTATTTGCCTGTCACTTGGAGCACAAAATTAAAGAGCAGACTGAGCGGAGCTGACTGATTCCTCAAGATCCCTGTTGGGAGAAAAACAGCGTTTCGTTTTCGAAAATCGCACTGACCACACATCCTGGAAGTAAAAGTAGAATTGCTCTTCACTTTTGCCATAGGTTTTATTACCATAGGACCACCTACTAACAGGCTCAAATTAAACACTGAACACACACACGCATATATAATTTCCCGTAAATTTCTTGACCATGATTTAAATATAAACGTGACTACAAGCGGACTTTGGAATTAGTGATGTCACTGGGGTTTTATTAAATGCCCCCCCCCCACTCATTTGATTCTGACCTGCAGATGTCAAAACACATATTGCACTTTTTTCCTGATACATCCAAGCCTTTATAATGATTGCTGGTGTTATTCTACACCCAGACCGCAAGCTTGAAGTCTGAGCTATTTTCACACTGCAAGGTCTGGGGCATTGAACCCACATCCCTCCACTGTCCTCTCCAGGCAAACCTCAGTGTTTCCCTCAAAGAAAACCTTGTCTCGGCCACGTAATGGAGACTTTTGTGTATTTAAAGCACAAATGAGGAACAAAAACAAATAGATAAAACGCTGAAAGGCAACCGAAACCAAAAGGTTCAGCCTCACGCGGGACCATCTTTTTCAATGAACCCAGAAAGGCACGATCGATTCATTACCCTGAGCAAATCCTATTTCACACTGGTGGTGTTTTAAAATAGTCATCACTCCACATCTCTTATAATAGTTCAGAAAACCACGAGTTTACAGAGCCCAAAAAGGAGGAAAGAAAAACTCTGGGGGTGGTCAGGCAGGACACAGGCAAGACAAACACAGATGTAAAGCCAAAGTCCTGAAAAATGCAAAGTAGCTGCTATTCTCTGATATTACCTCAACCCACAGAGTCAAGGTTTTACCACAACGCACGAAAGAGAAAGAAAAAAAATCCTAAAGTCCTAATGACCACTTCAAGGAAAACGCTTACATGGGTCATCAGAAAGAACAAGTAATGCTTTCCTTGAGCGTTATCTCAAATCTTAAAAGTCTCCATAAATTTGCACGACATCACAGCAAAAACCACAACCCAGATTTTAAATGATTTGCACATTACATAATTACAAACAAACAACCACATGAGACGCTCAAGTTCAAATCAAGTTCAAATGAAGTCAAGTCGAAGCGTTTCAAGTAAAAGAAAAAAAACAACTAATCTCAAATCAAGCATGTTAAACGAGCACATATGTGCTTATCCAGGCAGACGCTGCAAACACACTGGGGACTCTCTTTTTTATTTATTAAGGTAATGTGTTTACACTAATTCCTTCAGCTGTTATGTGATTGAACAGATGTGTGCAACCTTCCAAAAGAGGTCAGGAAACCGCCACCACTCGCAAGATGAGTCATCGGCAACACAATCAGGAGAGCAGGTCAGCTGTTATGCACCGTACCCCCAAAACAGCATCTCACTGAGGGGTCTGAACATCCTCACTGATGTGCGGACAGAGAAACGAGCCCATGGAAGTGTATTTAGTGCCAAGGAGGTTCAGCTTTCATCTGTGTTAGTTTGTTTGTTAGTTAGCAGGATCGATTTCCATTAAATTTCACGCAACAGGAACCCCAACACATTTAGATGCAGATCCGGATCAGGAAGCAGATGGATTTTTAGAGAGATAGCGTTTTTCGACATTTTCCTTCGTTTCACAGAGAATAATTCATGAACCTTAATGAAAAAAAATCAGGCTTAATTAGAGGACTGATATTCATGAGTAGTTGCTATTTGGTGCAGATCCTAATAAAACTCAGTTTTGCACATTCCAAAGTTAAAAATCTACATTTAATTTTGTAAAACGAAGAAAAGCAGATGAAGGTATTCTAGATTGTGTGTTTGAATGTGAATACATAAATATATGTGTAACATGAGATTAAAAGTCACTGTGCAGCTGCAGATGTGCTTGAAGCTGACGGTTGAAGTGTGACAACTACGACACGTCAGGGTGGATCGAGCGTGATGTGGTCAGATGAGCAACACACACTCTCATCTGAAAGAGGCCTAATGTTTGAATGACTGCTCTGATTTTCATTAGCATCTACGGCCGCCCACTAAAAGTGCAGCGTTGTTACATGAACCCTGGACGTCTAACACAAGCTGCCGTTCGGCGCCTGCACTCCTCAATAGTAGCAATTCTGTCATAGTTTCTTAAATCCAATTTCAGATTTGTGGCTTTTTATCAAAACCATGAAGAGTTGGGAAATACCACACAGGGCAAAGTAACAACGGGGAATGGTCAACAAAGGTTTCCTCTGTCCACTGCCTGGAAGTAAACATTTTTAATTATGTGTTTCATTTACAAGGGGGTATCGTCTGGAGGGTCGAGGAATTCGATGCGACCGCAATGCGCTGAGCTTAAAGAGAAAATAATATGATTGGTTTCACTGTGGGATCCAAAAACCTCCTCTGAACAATCAACAGGGAAAATGACAGCAACCGCAATGAGATAGAGTAGATGCTGGTGTCTGCTGGAAAATGGTAGTCCTCAGACACCCATAAATACACAAATACACCCCAGGATCAGCTTCGATCTCAGGCTCTGGAAGCCACAAGGAGGACAAAGGAAACAGAGCAGCATTTAAACTGTGAGAGTACACATTTCACTGCCTGACAACTGCACCACAAAAGGCATTTGACCAAATCAGCAGAAAGTGTGTGAAAACAGACCCAAACATGATGATTCTTTATTTACTTGTTTTTGTTTAATGAATGCCTCAAGAGGGTTCTTTGAGAGTGCTGAGGAGTTTTGCAGCTGATTAGTATCGGGTCTTATAATCAACAATCACATTCCAACAATCCTCCAATCACATTCAATCAGGACAACAAGGCGTTTTTTTACAGTCACGTTCGCTCACTGTGATCATCATGCCGCCGCTGCTGCTTCATATGCTATCTACTCTTACAGTTCCCAGCAAACTACTGTTTGTGCTGATTGATTTCTTCCTCTATCACTCCAGCCTCCTGCTGGTGCTCGTGGCATCCCCCTGCACTGTAAATTATGAGTGTTTCTAATCTGTGTACATGAGGTTCTGTTCTGTGCAGCCCGTGGGGGATTCATTGCACTCTCCACTGAACCTCTCACTCCAGATGGAATTCATTGGGGAACTCCCACAATAGCTGTGCCTATCTGACAAATAAAAGCATTTGGCAGCAATAAGTGGTTCAGTCTCCTTCGATACGTGCATCTGTGACGAATGTTTGTTTAGAAAGAAACCTGTCGCAGGTAGTGGAAAATAACCCTGCTGGAAATCATATATTAGCTAATGAGGAGCGACCTTGCTATTCCATGAGTCTGTTGCCATCTCACGTATCCTTTCAATATTTCAGCATCTCTCAATGACATCTAACAAGCAATTTTGGTCAATATACACAAATGAAGACGGACAGGCTCATGGATTTCATCTGTTTTTCAGCCAATACAAAGATTTGCAACGCAAACACTTTAATCTCTTTGTTATTCTATCACACCGTGAGAAAAAACGAATTCTGGTGGAGAGAACCAAGCCAGCCAGCCCCCTGCTCTCTGGTGATAACACTACGTTTTAGCAAAAACACCTCAAAGGTTCAAAGGTTTTTATTGTCATCTGCACAACAGATACAGCGTACATGTTTGCAATGAAAATCTTAAATCTCAGGCACCTCAAGCAACTCGACATACAAGTGTCATAAAATAAGATAAGAGTAACTAAAAATACAATGACATACACTAGTGCAAATGAAGTAATGAGTAATAGTATAAGATCATCCGAAGGTCAAAGGGCGTGTAATATATATTTAAAAAATGATACTGAAGAAAAAATAGATACAACTCAAATTAAGTTTTTTTTATATAAAGTTAGCAATTGTGGTAATGCAACTTCTTAACTTTAGTTTGAACAAACTAAATTAAGTTGTTTGTTACCAAAGAAGTAAAGTTTCCTCTCATTCCAGGTTAGTGGCTTCATGCTCATCCAAACTGAAACAGAACAAACATCAGATGGGTTCCCAGGGAATTTTGGACGGAAAGTTGTGGGCCTTTGAGAGATCATTTAGATTTGGATCATTTTGACTTTAGTGATCCCCTGATATTTCTTCTAGTGCCACCACATTGTTGTTGCTTGTTGTGGTGAGGGAAATGTCTCTACTGGATGATTTGTTATGATCTGAATCTGGTGCAAGCAGATGTTTTTGGCCCAACACAAAATCCTACAGACATTCCCTTTAGTCTAAACTGCACCTTGGATTAGTACTTATTAGCAAATGTTTGTTTACTATTACGCTAAATTCTGATTATGATAAACATTATACCTGCTACATCAGCATGTTGCTATCGTCATTGTGAACATGTTAGCATGCTTCCATTAGCATCTAGCATTTAGTGCCAAAGCAAAGCCCCACAGAGCCACTCCCATGACTGAAGATTCTGTGTCTTGCATTTTTTACTCACCAGGAACCTTGTGCTTTGACTTGATGTTTCCTTCACACTTCCGTTTGGCTTTGAACAACAGGCCTATCTGTTCCTCTTTTGTGAGCACATCATCTGTGTAGACCTGCAGAAATGGAAAAACACGGGGTTAGGAAGTCAGGGAAATATTGAAGTGTAACTGCAAAGTGCATGATGCATGTTTTGCACCGAAATCCAAACCTCCAACACTAAGCCCCAACAATTACAACATCAAACGGCAACATGATAGTTTCTGATGTGTCCAAAACTGCAGAGAAAACATTTAATTACACATTTGTGGTCCCATCTGGATCTGAAATAAAGATTCTGACTCGGCTCCTCCAGTGAAAATGCATCAGTTGGCCAATATTCAGACACGGTTACGTCTTCACAGCTGCTTCAAACCCTCTAACCGCTCTCTGCATCCCTGGTCATAGTGCTGCAGACAGCAAAATCCAAATCCAGTTTCCTTCAGTAAAATACTCTTCAACAAGTGACATTTTCTCAAATGGAATATGACTGAAAGCAGCGGCCTGGATGTTAAACAGACTGTTCTGTATCTGGAAGGTCAGATTAGATTGTACTTTCAGTTCCCCTGTCAAGACTTTAAGAGCTACGCATCACATCTATAAAAGTTTTAACTGTCTGTTATTTTCCCCTTGAATAAATAATATCAGTTTTACATGTTGTTCATAGTCCTAGTTTGTATGCCTGTGGTTAAATCCTCTGAACGGTCAGTAATCAGACATGACAAAGTTACAACATGGACAAAAACAACATTTTATTCCCAATATTTCCTTACACCTTATGTTTCCTTAGCTTTTGAACATGGTGTTTGACTGTGGCGTGGCAGCTCAGGTGTGGTTTTCCAGTCAGGAGAACATTTTCCATTCTAATAGGTCACACTGACTGGCTCGCTGTTTGCCCACGGATCACTCTTGGGCAATGACAAATGTGACTGTATTGAAAGTGACCGCATTTATTTTCAACAGTGTGACGAGAAAAGTGGAGGAAAAAAAAAAAACAAAGAAAAAATAATCCCTGTGCTAAACCTGAACCACAAATCACCAGGATCTTTACCTTTGCCAAACAGGAGTTTCATGGTGCGTTACGCCAAATGCAATATACATCTACACAATGAACTAAGATGTGGGCTGTGCAGCGGGCCTGGAGAGGTGGCTGAAATAAACCTCCTGTTCTTGGCCTTTTTTTGATTTAATGACGACTTAAATCACAAATCTGGATGTAAAGAAATCTAATTTAGTTTGAAACAAGAAATGTGCTTGTTAAAAAAATCCAGGTTAGTTCCAACATGCATGAGAGGAAAGAAACCAAAAGAGATTGAGCAAAGAGGTTTAATCCATAAACAGGTGAAAAATACTGATGCTGCGAAAAAATGTATCACAGCCATTTGAAATAGGTCAGACAACAAATTAAAATGCAAGATGCACCCAGAGCCTCTGCACCAGCGTCCACAAAGAAAAGGCAGAGGGGAGATATTCTTATTAT